GTTTTAAAGAATGCTATCTTGGACCTTCAACACGGAGAAACATCATTGCACGAAATATATTCCCCGATGTATTACCTTCAGGTTTGGGTCTGGGAACGCTTCCCAAATGTGAGACGTCGGGATAGCTCAGATGGGTCGACCCCAGGCGGCGACGACGACGACACAAGATTGGCCTGATGGGCCAACCCGAAGAATAAAGGTACAAATTACAGTACTTTAGAGATGGCTACACGGGCCGCAGATGATTTTGTGTGTCGGCCTTATCTTAACCACACCAATCATTTCATCTCCCGAACAATTTATAAAGAAAATTTGTCGCTTGAAAGCATCTACGAACGTGGATACAATGAAGAAGTGGACTCGTTCGCTCGGTGTTTGAGGGTATCTAAATTAGTCGGTTTACATGTTACTCAACAATACTTTCCCCATCGGGTATCGAAGCAATTTGGATATGATCAAGATATACCTGGAGATGTTTTGCAGCTAGAAAACAACAAAGATGCTTGGGACGACTATGCTACATCTTTAAAGAACGAAATCATATTCCTCCCATCGAGACACGCTGAAGGATGCACGACTGCACGGCTTGGTTTTAAAAAGCGCGATGCGGTCCGATGCGTTAAGGGTCCCAGAAGCCGATGTGTGATGTGTGATGCTGATGCGCTCGCATCACGCACGTGATGCCCCCGGTATTCAAAAAATATTTATAAATTAATTCTACATATCAATTTCTACCTTAAAAATACTTGCCTATCAAAATACTTCATTTATAACATAAAGTAGTTAAAAGAAGTGGCATTAGAATCTTAAAAAGTTCGTGAATCATAATAACAGAAGTACAGAACACACAAACTACTACCATGAAGAACACAATTACACAAGTAAACGTCTAATAGTCTCGATCCCTAAACTAAATGACCAACCAAGTGACCAACTAATACTCCCCAAGATCAGCATCATCAAACCCCAACACGGGTTCATCTCCCTCATCATTATCAAATCCTGCAATATCTGCTTCCACCTCAACTTCATCATCTTCATCCTGAAGAGCATGTTCTTTTCCTTTAGCACTTGATGGACCCGACCATTGGGCTTGGTTAATTATGAGTTTGTTGTTACCTCCATTGGGCATTTATTGCACCTATTAAATTACACTATCCAAATTCCTATTTAAACCACTGAATTCTAACTGTNCTTTAAAGAACGAAATCATATTCCTCCCATCGAGACACGCTGAAGGATGCACGACTGCACGGCTTGGTTTTAAAAAGCGCGATGCGGTCCGATGCGTTAAGGGTCCCAGAAGCCGATGTGTGATGTGTGATGCTGATGCGCTCGCATCACGCACGTGATGCCCCCGGTATTCAAAAAATATTTATAAATTAATTCTACATATCAATTTCTACCTTAAAAATACTTGCCTATCAAAATACTTCATTTATAACATAAAGTAGTTAAAAGAAGTGGCATTAGAATCTTAAAAAGTTCGTGAATCATAATAACAGAAGTACAGAACACACAAACTACTACCATGAAGAACACAATTACACAAGTAAACGTCTAATAGTCTCGATCCCTAAACTAAATGACCAACCAAGTGACCAACTAATACTCCCCAAGATCAGCATCATCAAACCCCAACACGGGTTCATCTCCCTCATCATTATCAAATCCTGCAATATCTGCTTCCACCTCAACTTCATCATCTTCATTCTGAAGAGCATGTTCTTTTCCTTTAGCACTTGATGGACCCGACCCATCATCGTTTACTCTCCGGCTCCCTCTTGATGCTCTAGTGAAATGAGGAGTCTCATACGCCCCGGAAGCTCTACCTACGTCATCCCACGTAAGATCATCATCAATAAATACCAAATCATCATCTTCATCATCATTGTCCATCCTCCCCATCAACCACTCATTACTTTCATCTATGTCTTCTAGGATGATAAGATCACTACTTCCCTCCTTATATCTACGTTGCAAGGCACGATTGAATTTCACATAGACCATGTCATTTAATCTTTCTTGTGCTAATCTATTCCGCTTCTTGGTGTGAAGCTGTCAAAAGTTTAATTGGATATTAGTTGATATATTTAAAATCAGATACCGAATTTATAATGTCATGTACGCCACTTACATGTTGAAACACACCCCAATTTCTCTCGCAACTTGTAGCACTACAAGTAAGACTAAGAACTCGTATAGCAAACTTTTGCAGGTTGGGAGATGAAGATCCAAATGTTGTCCACCACTCCGCTATAAGGAACAAATATTTAAAAAGTAAAATATCCATAGTGTGTAAGTAACTAAGTATAAAAATATATTTTCAATTTAAGATGA